TGGTAGGTAGAACTGCTGCATTAAAAGCTGCCATAAAGGAAAAGAGGCATGCTGGTCCTCAAAGATGTATGTAGATTTGAAGATAGCTGTGCATTGTTTCTCTTTGCTGTGAGGAAAACTAATGCCTTTTTTTCCAACATCAGTCCCACAAAGTCCAGAAACATGGTTTTTGTTGGCATTTGCATAATACATTTTGACTTTGGCTTTCCTTAGTCTATAATGCCATATCGTCATAAAACTAACATTTGTTTTGGCAATTTTTTCCATTTAATGTCTCCAATCTTAGCATGCATCTCTTCATCAGTATTATTTTTATCGTAACCTGTGTTTTCTCCATGTTGGCTGATATTTTTCTTTTCAAATTTCTGTATATTTATGTTGGTTTGGAACAGCTGTTCTATAGCTAATCTCAGCGACTGTTGTTCTGCTTACCTGAGCATGCTGTTGCCATCAAAAGTCAGAACCGTTCATTTCTTTTGATGGGTAAATAGCACGTACCCAAGAAAGAATTCTCCAGAGTAGGTGAAGCTTTGGATGCAATAAAATGTTTAAAACAAAAAGAAAAATTCTGCACTGACAAAATATATTTTTCAGTTAACTTGTACCTTGTTAATAAATTTTCCCAGTCACACATGATGCTTCTGATTTAAAACCGTGGGATACCACTGTTTTTATTGACAATTTTTGGACAAAAAGCAAAGCCCATTGTTTCTGAGATTATGGAGATGTACAAAAAGTTGCTGTCCTGTGAAGACTTTGATAGCAGACAAATTTCATAAACATTTTACAAGCCATCTCAAAAGCATTAGCTCACCACAGGTCCCGTGTAATAAAGTAACTAATACAAAGTTCTCAGAGGTGGCAGTATTGCATTTCATAATGCTGCATGTGAATTTTGCTATTGTATATCAGAGATCCGTTATTGGAACAAGGAACAAGTGAAGTGTAGGCTGAGTGTGCTCAGAACTGTTTGGTCATTTTTGATTCTCTTCTTTCCATACAAGCATTTTGACCTTCGTATTACACAACACACATAATCAGCTACAATTTCCCTCTCAAAAGGTGTGTTTCTGTTGCATATGGTAGACACGAATATTATCTATCAGGAATAAATGTCAGAAGGTTAATTAATTTGAATTAATTGAAAAAACAGAATGACAGAATTCCTGCAGAATTTATCTGTAACACAAACCAAGGATTTTTAGTAGTCCCTGTGCTCGAGCTTAAGTTTTAAGAAAGCTGTCCCTTTAAAAATGGCAGAAGAAGGCATGTGCTAAAATTCCCAGGTCATAAATATGGGTCATATGCCCTGTAAAGACAATCAGTATCTCTTCAAAAGTATTGGAAGGTTTTGATCACAGTCTTCAAAAAGCATTGAAAAAGGCTTCTCTGTGTCTTAAATTGTGCAGCCTCGTAGCAACATATACTTTAAAAAGACTCAGAACTACCGGAGTATAAAAACCAGTCTCTTAATTTGTTGTCTGTTTTGTCTGATAAGTTTGGAAGTGTACTCCCTCTGAGTTTGATTTTCCCCACTCATTTCTGTGGAATATGTCACTAAAATGCAAAAAGGCTTATGCTTCTACAAAGAAGGATACTTTTATTTTTGTATTTAATATGAATTAAATGTTTCCATCTAAAAAAAATGCACCACAAACACATGACTTTATATTCTAATGTCTGATTCTGATGCACATTGTGTGTCTTGGTTTTGCTTTTTTTTTCATGAAATGTAATCTTATATTTAATTTAATATTTTTCTAGGGTCCTTTTTTATACAATAACGTTCTTTTTCAGCTTCCTATCTCTTTTTTTTTTTTCTTTTCTCTGGTGTTCAGTTCAAGTTAGCATGTTTCCCCACTCTATATTGAAAGTATAAAGTCAGTTCCAAAAACGTATGCCACTCCTTAAGCAGTCAGTTCCTCAGTGGGTGTTCCCATCCTTCTTCAAAATGCCTATTTTTGCTGACTTGCAGAACTGCATGACTATATCCCTACAACTAAATGTCTACCAGAGCAATAGGTCCTAATTCTAGGTTTTAATTTTCTGTGTGCTTTCATTTGTGGGGCTTGTGGCAAGTGTTACTTATTCCAGTTAGAAATGTAGCTTGGTAAAATGAATAGTTTTCAGTATGTTATAAACCAAAGCTGCAGATGGAAACGTCAGTGTATTCAGAATATAGATTCTTGCTTTTACAGAGTGCTGTTGATTAACATTTTCCACTTACAAAGTTTGCTTTCTTTCAACTGTTTAGCATAAAGAAATGTTTTCCAAAAGAACTGATCAAAATCTAACATTGGATGATTCACTTCTGGATAATTCCCTTTGTATCTCTTTCAATTTTTCAGATTCTTTTAATAGTGCTCTTGTAAATAATTATATGACTTGAGAAACTCTAACTGTACATTTATGCTTTTAACGTCCTTTGATAGAGTTCTGGTTTTCATTTCCAGCAGGCACTGCTTGTAAAATCAATGGCAAAGACAGTCCAGCAAACTTATACTGAAAAGTCTATTAGCTTTCAAAGTATGCACACAAAAATCCCAGTTAATTAAAAAAGCATGCTCTTGCAGTTATTTGAGATAACTTTAAAATGATACTGTTTTCATATGTTGAAATATATTGTGTGATAGTGCTATTCCCCAGTAATTTGCAATACAAGGAGCAAAGGAAAAAGTACAGCAGAAGAAAGGGACTTTCAAACTTCAGCAAGGAGATAATTCTACTTCATATCGAACATCTTTTCTTTACCGTAATTTTCAGAATACTTTAACTATGGTATTTTATGTTCTTTTGATTCTGTAACATACCCTTGTAATAATTTGTTCTCTTTTGGGTTTTTTTTTTTTTTGTTTGGTTTTTTTTTTTACAAAGCAGCTTCCCCAATTTACAGCATCTGAGTTTAGCTCACTGCAGAAAATTCAGAGACAAAGGTTTACCGTACCTGGGGTCTGGAAAAGGCTGTCACAAGCTCATCTATTTGGACCTTTCAGGTTGCATTCAAGTTTGTAGTTCACGTCTTTCTTTCATTCTGTGAAGAAGAGAATCCTTCATATGACTGGCTGCATCCTGCATTCATGGTATACTGAAGTAGAACAAGCACTGCAGCAGACTTCCAGGGTTTTGAATTACACGAGTACAGCTGTTTAAATTTTACTAAGGAATAATAGCACTATAGGTTTGGATCGCTTCCAACAAACTGTCAGATCTATAAACAGCTAGTACTTACTGCATAATGAGAACAAGGCTTGCTTTTTGTAGCCATAAATAGACTAATTCTATGTCATGATTAGTTAGGATTTTAAATCAGGAGCTTTGAAAATGCAGTTTTTACTAAGATATCAAAAAAAAACCACCCCCACCACCCTGCACTGGAAAAATCAGAATTTACATTTGATTTCCTAAGAAGGAAGTTAATTAAAAAGTGAAATTTTGTTACTACTTTGTAATGGTTTAACATATGAAGTAGTATTTGTAACTGCATTCTAAAAATAGTTAATGTTTTGGATTATTTTAGTCTCCTACTAAACTTCTAAGAAAAACCAAGGTTTAGATTCTGGTACTATTTTAGAAACTTTCAAATGCATACTGTATCTTGAAACGTACTGGAAAAGCAATATGAAATGCCAAACTGTAAGGCAATAAAAGTCTGCCAATGTTTTCATAAAGACTCCCACATATATTTCTTTATACACTGAGCAGATTCTCCAAATCACAAAATACACGTGGAATGATAAAGAGATGGAGTCTGAGGAATACAGAGATTTAACTTCCCATCTAACAAAAGCTTTGCAGAACCAGGGATGAAGGCAGAGAGGGCAACAGTCTTGTTCTGGCTGCTCTTTACTTTGAGTGTCTGTTTCTTCTTCCTGAGAATCATGCTGAGCATATTGTGCGGTGAGAGTGTGAAATTTGCAATGAGGGCTGAGGTTAGAGGAAAATTAAGAACTACCTACCTCTGAGTTACTTTTTCAAAATGCCAGTAATTGGTTATTTTTTCCAAAACCAACATTCCTGCTTGTTCAGAAGTATAATCATGAGCTGCAAGGATCTGCCTTTAGAAAGCATGGCTGAAGAGGAGTCAGAGAAAAGTCATCATCATCGAACTGGGAAAACCACGATCCTCCCCTTTCCAGAGGAAAGTGGGTTTGCTCGCCAGTGTATTTGAGAACTCTGAAAGGGATTCCACAGCTTCCTCCATTTTGGGTTTCCCCACAATTCTGGAACAGCGCTTAATGAGTATGACTGAGTACTTCAGTTAACAGTTAAAACCGAAAAGAGCATCAAATTGCATCACTGTTGCAGAAAGCATTTTAATAAGATAGAATTCTCCCCCCCCACACCCCTTATTGGATGAACTAAACCAAAGGGAACTTCTGTAAGGCTAATGTTCCAAAATTAGTTAGAAAAATGTAGTGAAGCTATAGTATAAACATTTAAATTATGCTAAAAAGTGTTTTACAGAACAGAATATGTATTCTGTAGAATAAAAATTTTTCCTGTTTTTTCATGTGTCCTGTTTTTCCTTCACTTTAACATAACAATTCTTTTTATATGAGTTCTTATATTACCATTACTACTCTAGGATTTGAACATCTATTTAGAAAGCCCATCTGTGAAAAGGGTGATTGTGCTAATGATTTTGCAAGTGGCAACTTGAGGGCCAGGGCATTTGAATAGCTTGTTAAAACATAGTTAGGCAGAAAACTGAGTTAAGCACTCTAGTCCGCTTTCATAAAACAAGGCAGGCTTTCCTTTGACTATTATATTAATACACGATAATAATACTGGATGAATTGTAGGTATGGGATTTTGCATAAAATCTCAGTAATTACGGTTGTGGTAAATATTTTCATTAGTGAGTTTCAAGAGATTTTCATAAAAATAGATGCTCAAAAGGTGTCCTGTTACATCATTGATATTCTCAGAGAATTACCTAGAAAGCATAAGATTTCTTTGTCCTGCTTCTGAAACTGAACAGTATAGGTGGAAAATTTTCTGCTATTAGACACAAAACTGAAAAGATGGAAGCATAAATATATTATAAAGCAATTGTGTGTCATTTACCAACATATTAGATTGAGATTATACAACTAGAACAGTTTGGTGAGAGATATTTTCAATTAAATTAGAAACGTGGAGATTTGCAAAGAAATTGACCTTTTATTTTTGGTGCCAACATCTATGACTGATTTTCAGACTGGAACTATTCTGGCCCAAAATGTGGTAGAGCGGTTTATCAATTGCTGTGGTTTACAACAGCTGGATAAGAGATCACAAGCCACTGGGAAGAATAAATTTGACCCTTTCATTTCTTGACATCCTGCAGTGTTTGTGGAGCTGTCAGAGGAGCTATTGGCAAATGTGTAGGCTTCACTAGTTTTCACCATCTGAGTTCCTCCTGCTTGGTTTCATTGGGAGAGTTCTTATTTTGGCAGCTACTATCAAGTTCTGGCTTCTTCAGACATATGAAGCAGCAAAAAGGGGCCATCACTTGGGGAGAAAAATCTGAGCAGTGCTCTTTATTTATTGAAGAGGACTCATTGTTTACATTTCCTGAGTACAAACTCGTGTAACAGAAGAATACTTTATTATAAATTACACATGCACTATCCTATATTTTTAGAAATACACTAATTCAGGATTTTGTTAATATAAGATATTTTTGGACAGTGGAAAATTAAAAGAAAAATAACATGTGGAGGCAAGCCACCAATGTAATGTGCCAAACATCTGAAAGGATGTCACAATTCATTTTATCATTCTTGACAAACACAGAATAAATAAAAAAAAAAGCCTTTTGTGCACCACAAGAGTACTTCCTCCACCCTGAACACTGATTTTCAAGTTTCTGCACTCACAGTGCATTGATAATACTAGAATCATAGAATAATGTTTCTTCAAAATCCCTCCTGAGCTGCTGACAGCATTCTGCCTTGCAAGGTGGATACCACAGATGCAATCAGTTCAGGGGGAGAAAAAAGGAATTTTAAAGCAGTACTGTATGTGCAGCGAATAAGCCCAAACCTGAATAAAAATTCCCTGTATGCCTATTCCTAACACTAATTCATGGGTCAAGCTGTTAACTCTTGAGGTAATCTATTAAACATTGAAATTCCAAGTCAGTTGAGAAAACAACTGTTTTACTAAAATGTGCACAAAATTTCATATTTCTACACCTTGTCTTCAAGAGTTCAATTATATACGCCAGAAGTTGCGTAGATAACCCATAGGGGCTTTAGGAAAGAAATTTAAGATTAAGATTTCTTTGTTCTAGGAATAAAGAAAAATAAGACAAATACATATGATATGGCAGTAGCATCTAAACGTTGACTAATTTAGTTGAATCTTATCTGAAGACATGTTTCACACTGGAAGTTTTTCAACCTGATGCCTGAGATCCATTATCCAGTTAAGTTAGAAAAGGGTTCAAGTAAAAAAAAAATCTGAAACAGTCTGTGCAGGGGTATTATTAGCTGCTTCAGTATAATTGCTTTTGGCTTGCATGGAGGAAAACACTAAATTGCTGCTATTTGTGGTATCAAATGGCTATGTTAAGCAAACAGTGTTTTTCCAGACAAAGAGATTAAAAGTCCTTTAGACTGCAGTTAACGTTATGCAATCATTACTGAATTCCAGAAACAGATATGCTATTTCTGTCACTCAACATGTTGAGTTTGATCTGATTACCTGTTACTTATTATCTGTCCTTTTGAGAATGGGAATTTCACTTAATTTTAGCTATCTAACCTAAGGTAGTGCTTAGACAATTATCTTAATTTGTCTATATAACAATTAAAGAGGGAGATAGGTCTCCAGAGGTGATTCAGGCTTTTTCAGGTCTGACCTATTTTGGGATCTTTCTTGCTCTTTGTTTGCTATACAGAGTTCCCAGGTTTCATAATTGTCTAACACAGACACCTCAGTTATATTCCTAATTTCAGTGGAGTAAACAAAGGCTTTAGCATTTGCAGTCTGTTTTTTAAATCATCATCATTATTGGCACTTTCTTGATTTAGCATTTTTCCTACCTATTTCCCTGATTTTGAAGTCCTCTCAACCGTGATTCCTCGTCTACAATTATCAGAACAACCTGTAAGCCTCGCAAATATTTATCTTACTGCTTGGTTAAATGGCTAACATATGCAAAGTCAAGACAGTAAAAATAGGCTCCTGAGTCTGCATTTAGGTTTTTTTCAGTGATATTTTTAAAATCTTGGCCAAAGCAACAAGTAAAGCAATGTAACTAAGATCCATCAGTAATTTTATTTGCATCTGAATTTTAGGTACCTAGACACGGGGGATCTTGTATTCCTACTCTCTGTATCTAACTGTGACCACCAACCTCAGTAGGTACTCTTGACAGTTATAAATGTGTTCATGGTAAAAAAGAAATCCCCAAAACAATTGGCATCGGGCCCCGTTAAGCTCCATACCTTCCTTTGATTAGCAGTCATAGGAGTGAGTTGTTGGTTGCAACAGGTGCATGCATTTGAACTGAGACTTACAAATCTCTTCAGTTTGAACTGTAAGCATAGCTGAATATGCCATGTTCTGCACTATCTCAGCTTCTGAGTGACTGTTCCTTGGGAGCAGAGTTATTCCTTCTCATTATAGCAAATCTGCTCAGCAGTTACAAGGGGAAATCCTACTGTCATAATGGCTAAAGTGTGCTAAAACTGCTTAACAAACTGTGGCTGATTTTTTAGAAGAGTGAAAACCTCAGCCTGCTTTTGAAAAGGCATCATGCTCGATTACTATGGACAGCGTTATTGCCGTGTATTACAACAAACTGCATGATGTAACATACCCTCTCTTCTATTGGGAATGGTTTGCTCTTTGTAGTATACAGGCCAGGAACAAGATTCAGTTACCAGAACTTCACCTCTCAAACTGAAATTTCTAGGGGGTGATTTCTTTCACTTTAACATACTAAACTACTTGGTGCGTGTTGTAGAAATGTGCTGTCTTCTGCTGTTGTGCCGTTTAAGAGCCCACAGTGAGGAGGTCTGTTGCAGGGTTAGGTAAACTCTTAATTGAATGAATTGGTCATTCCATGTTAGAGCAATTAGTGCTTCTGGACCAGCAGAGAATGGAGATTTCCCAGTAGCTCCCTCAGGCAGCTGCTTGTGTGATGTTCACAATTCAAGCTAATCCCTTTCTACAGACTGCAGGTTTTGTGTTGAGGAAACTGGAGATAGGATAACATTGTCCTGTGTTACTATACAAATAGTGAGTAAAACCATAAAATTTGGACAACCAAATTTCATATTCTGTCCTGAAAAGTAGCACACATCTTTCCATGCTGACTTTTTACCTTCTGGTGATCACTGCCGGTTGAAAAGAGGATTGCCTTTGCCCTAGTAGCTCTACACTAGTACTGGTTGTTTTGCAATCATTTGGGGTAGGCAAATCCAACCTAACCATGCTGATGGGTGAGATCTGCAGTACTGTCTGCAGATTCTCACCAATGTGTTACCGACATCAGCCGCATTCCCAAGGTCATGGTGTTCTTTTGTCTAGCAGATGTGTCTCAGTTGGAGGGGGTGTGAGAGCCTGGAGTGCACCCACAGGCTCTACATGCTCTGACCAGCATGTGGTTACAAAATGGTTATCTTTCTGTATAATCCTTTCCAGCAGCCTTCCCTCCTGCCCCCTACAATTTTGCTTCTTTTCTTTCTTCAGCTCTTTCTTTATATTGTAAAGAGGAGCTGTTTTTAGAGGAGCCTGATCCAGGGGTACACAGCTACACCATATCATGCCTGACCTTGACCACAGGCAGCTGACAGAGAGTAGTTCGTATAATCATAGAATGGTTTAGGTTGGAAGGGACCTTAAAGATCATCTAGTTCCAACTCCCCTGCCATGGGCAGGGACACCTCCCACTAGACCAGGTTGCTCAAAGACCCATCCAGCCTGGCCTTGAACACCTCCAGGGATGGAGCATCCGCGGCTTCTCCAGGCAATCTGTGCCAGTGCCCCGCCACCCTCAGAGTAAAGAATTTCTTCCTCATATCTAATCTAAATCTTCACTCTTTCAGTTTGAACTCATATTTGATGGGATTTATATCACCTTTCATTACCTGTAAAATATTTTCTATAGTTATTTTGATCTTGGGGTTTTCACTCTGTTATTTTGCAGGCTGTTACAGACCCAGTGTAGGAGAAGCATTCATGCTACACTTGCCCTGAGCTTAAAACGCATTGGACTATTTGCATCCACGGTGCTAACAGTACCAGTGCATGTCATCAGCCACACCATATTCTGCCTGTCTGGACATGAGACCTGCACAAACACTTTAAGCCTAAGAACACATCTGTCAGACATGTAGCCCATTCCCCTCTACTGCTGATACACCCACACACACACAAGGGAAAAAGTGTAAAGACTGCCACAATCCCTTCAGAAAGAGAGACAAGACATTTAACATTCAAATATTTAAAACAATTTATAAAGAATCTGTTTAAAAGGCCACTCCAGCCTGAAAATAAAGAGCAAGCCAACCTGGCCATAAGTTAAAAGATGAGGCATTATGCCAGAAAAGAAAAGACAGTCTGCCTTGATTATAACTTGAAGTCAGATACTCAGTTCATGAAAAAAACCTCACATGCAAAAAGACCCCAACCGTTAAGATTGCAAAAAGAAGATCCAGAAGCCCAATGTGTGAACCCCCCCACTCAATGCTCGAGTGCTTGACCCTTCTTTCCAGTCATACATAGCCGTGGGGAGCAGTCAAATGTGCTACAAAGGCTGGAGGCTGCATGTGCAGGAACTGGAAGCATCTTCTGGTGCAGCGCTGCCGTACTGATGTTTGATGGCTGATTAGCTGCTGCTTAGCTTCTGGCTTGCTTTTCTGTGACTATCATCTCCTGTCTGCTAACGGTGTCCACTGTCACACAACATGCATACCCTAAGCAAAGTCTGTGTTTTATGCTGCCACTCCCCCTAAGCACTGTAACTAAGTGAATTCGGCTTCTGCAGCAGCTGGAGAGTTATGGCACAGCAAGAATCCCTCCCGGTATACTTTATCTGTGAAGTTTCCTCCTTTGGATTCTTGCCTCCTCAGGCCTTATTTGGTACCCAGAAGAAGATGCCAGACAGCTTTTTTTGTGGGTGTTTTGCAAACGAATTCCCGGTGCGGAGCACAGCTGTAGTTTGGGTGGCACAGGGCTGTTGTATTGTACAACTTCAACCCCCTGGGAAACAGTGAGAGCTCTACATGCGACTATAAGGGGGGACTATTTCACAGGGGGGAATGCTTCACATCCACGTTGTCTGTAGAACATGGGGCTAAAGGGAAACTGTCCTGTGCTTTACACAGGATTTATATATCAAAGCAACTACTTTGTATGCCAAAGAGTGAAGTGACATCTACTGAATTTGGGCAATTGAAGAACTGACTCCCTGGAGTCACTCCCTGGAGCGATAAAGGGAATTAACTGAATTGACAGATCCATCTGTCCATTCACACTTTCACTGAATATTGCTCTGTTAGCGTGTGCAGAGTTGGTGATGTGGTCCTACATAAAGGATTTTGTGAAAGACCTGCATGTTATTGTGATTGCATAGGATCTTTCTTAATAACCTGTCTGAATTTAACACACATTTTACTGTGGATCTGGAAAAAACAATGACTATTATTTTACCACATTCAAACCTTGCTTCAAACTAGATGTGAGCATTTGCCTTGTGTGAATACCTAATAAGGTTGGGAAAACAAAGGTAGAAGGGTGTTACTATGACATTCACTGCTGCTCCTATAAATGGCATTGACTTTAGAAATGGTTGTACCTTACTATTGCTTGCTTAGTATAGATGTTTTTGGAGAAAATCCTGGATTTGGATTATGTTGTTAAAATTTGAGAATAATATGTATACCTCAGGCATCTGTTTTTCTTTTAATGGGATTAATGCATTTCTTGTTTTAGTGAGTGTCTAGGTGCCTATGAATTTAAAGTATTGAAAAGATCTCAAGCCTTTCCTGTATTGTTTTTGTTAGGCTTGCTAAGACATAAATATTTTATTTCTTACTTAGATTTCAGTTGATGGCTTCAGAAATGTTGCCAATGGCTGCAGTAGGATTCAAGATCTGTTGATCAACAAAATGCCAGCTCTTACAAACAGGTGTATTCAAGTGAGAAACTGAAGATAAATCTGTACTTTGAGAAATTTTCTGATGTTGGAACTGGGTTATCCTCTCAACTGCCTTGAAAGAAAGTTATGCTGATACAATTTAAGTGGAATACTTCTCTCCTAAAAGATTTTTTAGAACTATTATCTGATTATATTTATAAATATTGCTCACTTGCATTCATTTTCAGAAAATTTCACTTGTCTTGTCTTCTTTTGCTACTTAGGTACGGCTGAATTATGGTCTTCCAGTTTATAAATGAGATTTTTTTCATTTTTTTCAGTGTTAAAGCAAATATTATACATTGAGAACAGCATTCTGCTACTGATTTTGCCAATCAAAAAAGAATTTTCAGGCTTCTGCAAAAGCGATTGTTAACTACATCACCGTCTCGGGTGTCTGCCATACTTCATGTCTGCAGTTACTTACTTCTTTTCCTTGTGTTACCAAACATAATAAATATATGGAGAATTTCAGTTGTTTATATACTACTCATTGTCTAGAAGTTACTGTTTTACTGTTAAAATGGATTATAACTATTTGTTTGAAATTGTATTTGGTATTATATGCAGAATATTTGCTGATCTTCTGTTACGTGACAGCATAGGTATATGAATATTTTATTTCCATTATTTTTTCCCTTTGATGGCTCTGTTTGAAAAATGCTAACAGGTAGTGTCTGTTGTCTTTCCTGTCTCTCCACATCTTTCTGATACAACTTTTAAAGCCCTCACTGAATGTTAACTTGTCACGGTCAGCATTGAAAGTTAGTACAATAATTCACAAAATTATTAGGTTGATACATTTTTAAAATTCATTTGGATAATTTGAAACAGAGAAGAATCTCTCAACTGATTTCAGTGGGTATTTGGATCAGGCTCTTTATGTATGTTGGATGTGTAACTTACATCTTTATATATTTCAACAGGAAACGACTGAATTACTCATTTACGTTTCAAGTTGATGAGTAAATGGTACATCAGGCACATTCATATGGCTGGTTGCCAGAAGTTGACAGATGCTGCTCTTAAGATGATTTCACCATTGGACCATATTCTTGTCCTGAACATATCAGACTGCATAAGGTACTATATCACATCCAGATTTCTGTAAACCATTGTGAAGGAATTTTAGTGAAGTTAATTATACTCATAATTGGTCGTGTTAGCACATCTTTCAGTTTTAAAAGTAAATTCTTAGTATGTTAATACATCTATTTTAATATTTTAAAAAATATTTTATACAGGTAGTTTTTTGTTCCTGTGTCATGCGTTCAAAAATCCATTAATTATTAGTCCAGTTCAAGCAAAAGAAATCAACTGTAGGTGTAACATTACTTAATAGCCATGGCATATTTTAGTGCTGGAATGTGTGGAATGTGGCTACGAAGAAGATGAAAATGATAAATGAAGAGAATGCCAGTGCCAAAACTCTATTAGAATTTGGATATTGTTTAATGTTGTGAATATTAAAATAATACTTTATCACTATCTAGTACTAAGATTTAAACAAAACTGCCATTTTTTTTTACGATTACCAAGACAACATTGTAATTTATGTTGTAGAGGAAGGGTATATTTTATGTGAAGACTGTTTTCCACTTCAAGTGTGTCATGTATCAGTAGAAACTAAAACAGATGAAAGGGCTTCCAAGGCTGCGTGCTTGTTCCCTGTTCTGCGACACGGTGATGGAGTTAAGGGCAGGAGGGGACAGGGAAGGCAAAACCTCCAAACATTTGAAAATCAACAGACCTATAAAACAATACAAAGAAGCTAGAAATGCTGCTTATGTTAAAATTTCTGATGTCCTGTGAAGTTTTAGGGATTCTGCTTTGATGTGTAACTAAAGTGCTTTTTGTGTCTGTTGATGCTGTATAAAAATCGGGTAACATTGTGTGTAGATGCGCTGAGAAGTGCTGGAGTAATACCATGACATCATGGTGGTAGTTGAGCTGAGCAGGTGGGACAGCTGCCTGCATTTTCTGGTTTAACATTTAGAAGGCTGGATTTTCCAGTCTGTTAGCCAGATCTTGGGCTGTGAGGGTGTTTGCACATGTGTCTACTGTCTCTACTGCTAAAGAATTGCTGAATTACCTTAACAAAACTTTTTAAGCAGTTGTAAAGCTATTGTTAAACTATGCACTTTTTTTTAATTGCTTTTGCAGACACTTGTTAAAGTTTGAGCATTAACAAAGTTATAGATTGTAACATATCTAAATTCAGTTAAGGGTCTCTCAAGAGATATGGAACTACAAAAGGGGAATTGGTAGTATTTATGTTTCTCTTATTTGGACAATGCATTGCTATAAAAGTTCACATTCTGAGTTAGAAGCATTTAGGAATTTCTCACAGAAATCAAGGGAAGCCCCATACTGGTGGTAGCATCTTCAGAACAGATTTTGAGATGCGTAGTCATCTTAGTGCTCTTAGTAAGTTTCCTCTGTTTTCATTGTCACTTTCTCTTAGTCTAAGAGTCCAAGCTTTTCTAACTTAGTCATATGGAATTTTTTTTTGAGAAATGAAAGGAACAGAGAGAGCAAATCTAACAATTCAAAATTCTTAAATTACAGGAAGTATTTGACTGCATGTGAAAAATGAAGAAAGAAAATTAACTGATAATGATTATTAGAATTAAGAAATAATAGAGAAGTGAGTAAAAAGGTGTCTAGAAATGGATTCAGGCAATGTGATGGCTCATACCCTTGGCATATTTTCCCAGTTTGTTATCTTCATTTCTGGTAAAGCAGTGTGTGGCCTGTGTTCTTATACAGTTAATCACCTGACTAGAGAAACTTAGCACGTGTATTCACAGCACAATTATTTCAAAAGTTATAATGGCACTATTTCAGCCCTCAAGCTCTGTGTGGTTACAGAGTTAATTTTTTTTTAATTCAATTGACTATCTTGCCAGGCTCTGCATTCCCTATAGACTTTATGCAAGTTAATTATTCTGAAGGTATATTTCTTAAATTTATCTATCTTGAATGCAAAACAACTGCACTGTGCAATAACACCAAAACTACCACAGTGGCTGAAATATTGCAGAGTGATTACTTTAACACTTTATGAATTATAGCTTGTGGTCGCACAACGAGGCTCTGTTCACATTGTCATTCTATTAGTAGTGCTATTCTTACCCATATGTTTCTAGGGCTTTGAGATTTACAAAGATTATTTGTGCTACAACAAACTGTACAAGCCAAAATACGGTTCCATCCTACAGAATTCTGGGATTAATTTTTTATTTGTCAAGGAACATAGAAAATATAGTGGGGATGCATTGAAAAGCTAAGTGTACGAGTGATGTTAAACATACCAGAGATAGGAACTGAATTGAAAGATTTACCTAAATTGTAGTCAGCTCTCCAATCATCCCAACTTGGCCAAAAGATTTTCTATCTATCTACTGAATTTTTATAACCTTTGTGTAGTATGAGTTAGTGATTCATGTGTGAGACATGCAGTTGATTAAGTGGAACACTCCGAGGAGAGTTACCACTCAGGTTAACTCTTCATGCATGTGTACAGAACAGCTACTACATACATGTACTACCTATCACTTACCTCTGTGCTAGAAGATCATTTTTCCTTTAAATTATTTCAGTTCTTTAAATTAACAAAGATACTGAAACAAATACTACTCTGAAATGTTTAAACGGGTTCTGATACGCTCTAAACATGTTTTCTGAGCTCTGTCTTTTGGGATGCTATCATATCTGAGTGTTGGACCTAATGGAAGTTCTCAAAATGTCCAACAGGCTTTTTTCCAGAAAGTTCTGGTTTTCAGCAGTTCCAAAGAGCATCATCTTTCTAATCCAGCCATTAATTATTCTGACTCCTATTTGGATTTAAAATGCTATTAAAAAATACCATTATTAATTTCTGCTTATCCACAATGTAAGCTGCTGAATGCAAATTGTATATTGACTGGTATGGAGCGGGAAAAATACATATTATGGATATTATGAATATTGCCTGCATTTCTCTAAGAATCAGTGATGAAGGTGTAAGGCCATTTGTACAAGTTTCTTCAGGAGCTAAGCTAAGAGAGCTGAATTTGACTAATTGTATTGATGTCACTGATGCTTCTGTCACAGAAACAGCACAAAGGTACCATAGTCCAGTACAATATTTTTCTAGTGTGGTTAGATTTTCAGGATATTTCTAATGTTAAAGTTCTTAATATGTTAATAAATGGGTAAAATTATTCAGCCAATTATATGCAGAAAATTGTACGATACAAATGAGAAGTCCCTTGTGGCATTGGGAACGATAATTAAAAAATTATCCATTATATAAAGGGGAATTCATTAATATTAATATAGAAACATGAGAAGTGTTAATTTTAGGGGAAAAAAGTACTTAAATGATGGTTGTCAGTGACAAAACTGCATTAAAAGATTAGTACGTACGTCACATTTTTGTAAACTTGATAAATAGTCATGTCTGCAAAACCAAAAAGCACTTTATTGCTAAATCTTTTAAATTCCAGTTCCTCAGAAGTGGTATTGGTATTGGCAATCAAAAGATAATTTTTAAATCTCCAGAGAAGTTTGGAGTCACAGAATCACAGAACCACAGAATGGGCAGGGTTGGAAGGGACCTCTGGAGATCATCTAGTCCACCCCTCCAGCCCGAGCAGGGTCACCTACAGCACGTTGCACAGGACGGCATCCAGGCGGGTTTTGAATGTCTCCAGAGTGGGAGACTCCACAACCTCTCTGGGCAGCCTGTGCCAGTGCTCTGCCACCCTCAAAGTAAAGAAGTTCCTCCTCATGTAAGGATGGAACTTCCTATGTTTATGTTTGTGCCCGTTACGTCTTGTTGTATCACTGGGCGCCACTGAAAAAAAACTGTTTCAATCTCCCTGGCACCCTCCCTTTAAGTATTTAGAAGCATTAAGATCCCACCTCAGTCTTCTTTTCTCTAGACTAAAGAGACCCAAGTCCCTCAGCCTTTCCTCATAAGAGAGATGTTCCAATTCAGTAATGATCTTTGTAGCCCTTTGCTGGACCCTCTCCAGCAGCTCCCTGTCCTTGAACTGGGGAGCCCAGAACTGGACACAATACTCCAGATGCGGCCTCACCAGGGCAGAGTAGAGGGGAAGGATGACCTCCCTCGACCTGCTGGTCACACTCTTGATGCAGCCCAGGATGCCATCGGCTTTTTTGGCCACCAGGGCACATTGCTGGCTCATGGTCATCCTGTTGTCCACCAGGACTCCCAGGTCCCTTTCCACAGAGCTGCTCTCCAGGAGGTCAGCCCCCAACCTGTACTCATGCATGGGGTTATTCCTCCCCAGGTGCAGTACCCTACACTTGCCCTTGTTGAATTTCATTAGGTTTCTCTCCACCCAACTCTCCAGCCTGTCCAGGTCACGCTGTATGGCGGCACAGCCTTCCGGCGTGTCAGCCACTCCTCCCCGTTTTGTGTCATAAGTAAACTTGCTGATGGTACACTCTATCCCTCCATCCAGGTCATCGATGAATATATTGAACAGGACTGGACCCAGTACTGACCCCTGAGGGACACCGCTCGTTATTGACCTCCAACTAGACTCTGCACCACTAACCACAACACTCTGAGCTCTATCTGTCAGCCACAGAGAGTCAGTCTTTCCACTCCTTACTAGATCTCTCAGCAGGCCCTTTTCGTAACAGTTGTTGTGAATAATTGTAGCGTGCTTGCTGGCAGGCTGTGGGATGCCTTCTCTGCCTTACTGATGGAGCGTTACCCCTAAGGCTCTGAGCACAGATGCACTGCTCGAGGAGTCGGTTTTCTTAGGTCTTCTGGTTTGCTTATGGGAATATACAGTTTACGATGCTTATGCAGTAAAATTCATTTTTCCATGTATGGTCAGTGAGTGCTGATTTGCAGAGCCTCCAATGTCTTCATTTGCTGTGTACCGTTATTTGCAGCGCTGTAGCTGGGTGCGGGCACAGCCATGGGGTCCTGAATTCTGTCACTGCAGTAAGCTTTGATGTTCCCATGCAAAATATGAGAGATTGGGAGATGGGGAAAAGTCAAGCATCAAACTAATTAAAAAAATATTTTTATGTAATAGAGTATTATGTATTTTAGAAATGTGTGTAGTACAGTATTAGCCCATATATAGGCAGTAACTAATAAAAGGTAATTCTTAGGTCGGACAATTCTTGCATTTGAAAGAGAGAAACAGAGACCGTCAGAAAGAGGAAGTTTGGTGGCTGTGAAGTTGATCAGAAAAGAACGTTTGTTAAGCAGAATTTTTTTCTCCAGGATGATTAGGCCTGAGGAAAACTGAAAAATTGGTAATTTTAACTTTTACATTTGTAAAAATTGTGTTTTCCCTGGACTAGATTTTATGGTAAAAGCCCCTAAATGTTAGCTCTAGCGGAGGCGCTGCTCTATGCTGTGGTCTAGAAAATAATTGCTAGTGAAAGAATTACTAACAAGGTACTATCTTCAATGTGTCAAGTTGCTAAGGCTCTGGAAAGCAAAATAGCAAGTGTGGGAGCCAGGTTAAACATCGCAGCCCTCCACATTAGATGTTCTTGGCAGGTCCTGCCTTGTGTGCAGGGTTCAGAGCCAGTTCTGCTGTTTCTTTTACTTTTGGGACAAACTCTTTTCACTGAACACAGAAATCTAGGAGAAACCTTGTGAAGAAAACTTGCTGTAGAGACTATTCTCTCAGTCACCGTTCAAACAGAATTCTGACCAAGAAGTTGATTATTTGGCTCTAACACAGAGTTTGTGCAAAACTAATTAAAATATGCAAAAGTAATTAAAATGCCTGTATCTTTTATGGAGGCCTGAAAATAGTAATAGTAATAGTAATAGCAATAGCAATAGCAATAGCAATAGCAATAGCAATAGTAATAGTAATAATAAATTAAACTAAATACAGAGGGTTGGGAAATCCAAGAAAATTTCATTTAATGTGATAATTTAAAATATCATAAAATCATATGTCAATGAAATTCGTAACGCCTTGAATTGCAGTCCCCCAATGTTTCAATATAAATGTTTTCTTTCTCCTCGCCTGCCACAGCGAGTCTTTCAAAATGCTGTGTTGCTTCTTACTCCACTTTTCACAGAGTGCAGCCCGTGACCTCGGCAATAAGCCAAGCTCTTTTGCTTACACTGCGTTTCTAAGGCTTTCAGTTGCCTCCCTCCCACAAGACAGATAAATGAACCCGGAAACTGACCATTTAGCATTTTTGTAATTTCTGATCTGGTTGCTAGTACTAGCTCCAAAACTGTTACGGTTCTTGCTGTTCGCTGTGTTTAAGTATATAACATTCACACTTGTATAATAAACACATTTTCTAATCTTAAGACATTATTTGATAAAAGGAAATCTAGCAGTCTGCTTTGTAACTACTATTTGCAATGCTTTGACTTTATAGTATGCATTTTATTAGCATGTAGATGAAGTTGTATTAAGATCTCTTTCAATTTAGACTTCATAAGTACTGCTTTAACAATGTAGCAGAGAGCACAATGTTTTGTCTGCAGTAACCAACACCATCACGTTGTGCTGATAAAGAAAAATAAGGGTGACATATACTTAAGGGAAGGATAGAGGAGTAGAGATGCTGTAGGGTCAGATTGTCTTACAGATTTGTGTCTCAGGTGTGACTGACAATCACAATGGAAATTTTTTTCACTGTTGGTGCCGCCTTCTTCTGTGGTTACTCTGGTGCCCAACAAATGAATGTTCCTGTTGAGATCTGTCTTTCATTCAGGGAATGGGTTGCATTTGGAAGAACTATATTGATTCTTAGAATTGTCCCTGTCAAGAGATCTTGTTAATAAAAAAAAATAAATTACAGTACCCTGTAGACTCACAGTAATTAAAAAAATGTAGTGCTAATAAGAAATATGTTAAAAGTCTCTCTCATGTCTAGAGAAGTTTATCATCCTTGTCCTGATTCTACTCATCAACAGAAAGACTGGAAATTGAATAAAAAGAATCATAGAATCATAGAATAGTTTAGGTTGGAAGGGACCTTTAAAGGTCATCTCATCCAACGCCCCTGCAATAAGCAGGGACATCTTCACTAGGTCAGGTTGCTCAGACCCCCGCTCGGATTTTGGTATTGTGTAGAAAGTTGTGCATTTTATGTAGAGAGAAAATGCTTAGGCAAACTTCTAAACACAAGCTAGAATAAGGCCAGTAACTCATCTCATGTTTAAGTTGTATGTGTGCTTACGTGACTTGATAAATAAGCCCAAGACCATTCATTAACAAAACCAAATATTATCCAGTGAAGAGGATGTCAACCTTATGCATGAGAAACTGGTGGCATACTGAAGAAGTTACTGTACTTTGCTCATTAGGGCTTTGACTATATTGCTCTTTCTCTCACAAAATATAGAACATTAAATAACACCCCCCCCAATTACATTTTAAATATTAATTTATTCACTCAGTTATTTTAGCATTCATCCTTTTACATTTCCTTCTTTATTCAAAAACTGTTTTTTTAAAAATAAACAATACACATTTTTAGGTTTCAATAACTTTTTTTAATAGCGAGAAGGACATTTGTTCTTTTTTTTGTCTTTCCTGGAGTACTAGAAAATTGGTTTTTCAGAGTTATAAACAACTTAAAAGAGACTTAGAAATGAAAAGATTTGCAGCTCAGTTACAGCATTTCTTTTTAAGAAAAACAAACTGCAAAGACAGAGCAAAGATGTTCTTTGAAGAAACTACCTTTAAGTTCTTTGAGAAAACTCCCTTTTTTTCTAGCTAGCCTCCCATCCCTCTTTGTTTTTCCTCATGTTTTTCTCTTCTGAACTCCCCGGAATACGGACAAGAGTGTTTTAAATTGTGAGTATGGTGAACACGTTCATGAATGCATAGATAAGATCACAAGTAATTTTAGATAGAATTGTGAAGGTATTTACAATATATGCAAGGCGTTTAAGCTTCTGTTACGGAGCTGGAAACATTAGCATTTAGGGCCAAAACTTATTTGTCTTTCTTATAATAGTGTACTCAGTAGAAATGCTTCCATGAGTTAGGGAAGCAGTTTTAGTTATAAGCTTTATTCTCATACTCTCCATATTTTTGTTAAAAAGTTTTGAACTTGTTCTGATGTCTATACAGTGCGGCTTTGGCAGCTTTGCTCCAGGTCTGAGAGTCTGAAAGCGTGCAGCTGCCCAGCTTTCCTCATTTCAACACAAGCTGCTGATGCATATGGCCAGGACCACCCATCTTCTTGGGACGTAAAAAAAATAATTAAGTACAGAAGTGTCAGGACATTGGAAGAAGGTGTCTTAAATCAAGCAGGATTTAGACAGGAGCAGTATAGCAAAGAGTAATAAGAGGAATTGTTAAAGAAACTTATTTGGCTCCTGAGTTATATAGAGCATCCAGCAACAAAAACAGTAGATACCCTTTACATAGGCTCAGGGAAGTTTAATATCAGTGGTGAATTATATGCAGTGTGGTAATGAGAGAGAGGAAAAAAAAAAAAAGCCTGAAATATAACAGATAGGTAAAATATTTAAAAAATGCAAAGAAGCCGGATATACTTCTGAAATCAAAGATAAAAAGGAAATATGAAGTATACAGAGAAATATTCTTTGCTTCTGCATTTTCTGCAATGACTGTCATGCATTAAATTCTCTCGTAACAATCCAAGGCTCCATTCTCTCTTCTGGCCAAAATGCCTCATCAAGAATTATCTGTGACATCAAGTCAGTTAATCAGCCACAGATTTTTTTTTTTTTTTGCTTTCTGTGTGTAGTCATTCTTTAAAGTTGAGGAAATTTGTAAATGTTGGGAACTCTGGAGTAGTGGTTATATTGATAAATAAAGTTAGCTCAACTTCCCTTTTTTATGTGTTTGTACTTGCTGTTCTTCAGATCCTGGCTGGTCCTCAAGGCCAGGCTGTAGTATTAGTATTTACTAATATTTTAATAACAATTTTCTAAATAGATCACAGAGAAAGAAAAAAAAAAAAGTGACATTTTGGCTTCGCACAGTTATCTAGAGTAATTTCTTTGCACTCTTAATGGGATTCTGAATCTATATGAGTCCACAGCCTGGCTCCACACTTAGGTGTGTTAAAAAATTAGGCCAGTAGGACTGAGGAAGAGCCTTGTAAAGGTTGAGAAGGAAATATTATGAGGTCCAGTAGGTATAACCAGCAACAGACTGCAAATGAATTAGTAGTTGCATTTGATTTCCAAAGGAAAGGATGTGACAAACCACACACATTCCCAAGGCAGGAAAAAGGAAATGTTAAAATATATTAAAGTGGGCTCCAAATTCAGATGTTACCACTCCGATTTGCTTGGGGTAATAGAGAAAGAGAGAATTTGACCTGGAGACTTAGAAACTTAATTCTGCATAAAAATAGGAAATGCTAACACAGAGAGCCATTAAAATTGATGCCAGATGTGCTAACACCTTGAATCCCAATGCAAATTAGGAATTAAAGGTACTTAGAAAATTGGGCTCCATGTTTTTACAGGACATTTTGTTACAATGGAAGCCCCGTCATCTGGAATGCTGATCTGGAATGTCAAGAAATACTGGCAACCATATTTCATAAGTTATCATCTGGTCTAACGGCAAATGGTGTTAGGTGCAGAAATTAAATTTTATTGCACGGATTATACACAGTCATACAGTGGGATTTCTGCACTGTGATAGAAAAATGTCCCTCTAGCTCCTGTAAACAGATCTGACCCAACTTTATATTAGCTCAGGTGTTGGAATCACTATAGCTACATTTGCTTAAGAACCTACCCATTCTCCAGAAGGTTTTTGCTATCTGAAACTAAACTTTGTTCTGCCACATAGGTAGTGTTATCAGCAAAACAATACTGTGTGATAGGAGTTAAATTCTTCTCTTCTAGTGTTTGATCCATGAAACTGGTGCCTGACTGTGGGTGCTCTGTGCAGAAGTCTGAGTGCTTTAGAGGATAAGCTGAGCCATTGGGTATTAAATGGCTCAGAAATGGAAGGTGGGAGATACCTCTTAAGAGCTGTCTTCCTAAACTGGAGACACTTTGAGGTCAATCTGTTTGGTTTGGGGTTTGAACAGGAAGCAACATCTGTATATCTCTGCAACATAAATATACATTGCAGATGCTGACCTTTAAGGTTACAAACAGATATGTGAACAGAAATCTCAGAAGAATTTGAAAATAGAGTAGCACATGGTTATCATTAGCCAGGGATGGTACATTCGCTGCAGTCTGCAGTTGAAAGGCAGAGACTTGCAGCTTGTGAATATAAATAATAAAGAGTTGTTCTTTGGTACACCGTAGCCTCAGATGACTTTCTCTAGCAAGAGAAGACCATCACCAGTTGGCACAGTAGATACTCATTTTCTCATCTACAAAAACCTTGGTGAAGTAATAATAAATTATGTTCTGCAAATGTTTGTAGGCCTCACGTAATAAAATAAATGAAAAAAAAAACCTACTTGAAAAAAAACAGTTGTTGGAGAAGAAGAAGAAGTTTCTTTTAAAGTTGTTTTCTAAATGGAATTGGTAATATACATGCTACACAAGAGATGCAGGACAAAGTCTTCCCTTTTTCCATGGCAACAGAAGATTGATCCAAGATACATAGTGTGATAACTTTGTGTTAAAGGAGAAATATATTTTTGGAAACACACAGTGTGGGTGATCCTAGTCTGGCATGGTTTGGGTCCTCAAACCACAACATTATGCTGCACAGTATCTGTTTTGCAAGCATCTATTTCCAGGAGTTCCAACAATAATGTGATAGCTCTGACTGTATCTTTCAAAAATCTCTGGAGGCTTAGTATCGAAGGTAAAAGTCTCTAGAAATAGGTCAGTATTCTCCATGGGGATCGCTGATGTTATTTATCAGGAAATGATATTGAATAAATCAGGAAGTCTAATAAAACTAGTGATAATTGGCTCCTTTGTATAAATGTTAGATATGAAAATAATAGTTAAAAATTTCATATAGATTAGACTTACTGCATAGTGCTTGTTTGAAGAGATTTACTTTTGGAAACATAAAAGTTTTGTAGCATTTCTATGTGATAGATAGTTCCTAGTGACATTCCTTGTCTTCCACATCGTCACTCTTCCCCTTCTCAAATCTGGAATTATCAATGAAACACCTCAAAGGAGACCTTGATTTTCACTGAAAAAAAAAAAAGTAGTTCTGTGATTCAATGTCACTCTAATCATATAAAATGATTATAAATTAACTTTGAAGTCATAGGAGCACTAGTTGTCATGTAGCAAAAAAATCTTCATAATATTCTTTAGTATTTTATTACCAAGTACATTAAAGTGGTGCCATTTTTAAATGAAGAAAAAAGTAAGAAGAAATTATGTCCATGAGGTCACACCTATCCCTATCAGTCTCTGCTGTAAGGAATTCAAGTTCTGACATAACCCCATTGGGGGTTTAAGTACATAATTGGTTTTTTTGTCTGGAATAGGAGTGCTCTGGTCAACAAAAAATTGAAATCTGTAGATTTTTCATGAAGCTGTTGAAAGTAATGGTCACTACATAACTGTGTCTGCTGAGAAATATGCAAATGTCTTTGTTTTCACAAGTAGCCAGGATTGGAAATCTCTTTCGTTGTTCCATTTTTTGGGTTTTTTCAGCCTGTGAGGTTTCAGGAATTTGCAAAATTTGAACTCCAGCCGCACTCTTCCAGCATTATCATTACAGTGTCCACATCTGGCTTCCAGACACTATTTACTTCTGCTTATTTTTTAAAGATGATATTTCCGCTCTGTGCAGCACTGTTCGCTGCCTAATTGTAGATAATTTAATAACCATATGGAAGAAAATGATAACTTTGTTTTTCAGTAAAGTTTACTTTGTTGATATGAAGCACAGAAGTATTATGCTCTGACTGTCAAAATACATTTTACAGTCAACATTTAATTCTCCTTCAGATTAGGGAGTTTAGGATCAGAACACGGTCCTGTTCCTAGTGCACAAGCAGTAAAAATCACAAGCATCTTTGGATCCTTTTGCACTCCTAAAATAGGAATTTACCAAAGTTTTCACCTCCCTTGAATATGGGGCTTGTTCATGCCCCTATGAGTGTGACTGCAGCATTTCAAATGTTGTCTTGTACCATAACTGTAGGCATAAAGCTGTTACCAGTAAACACATCATAAAGGCAGCAATTTTAAGATAGTATTTGGTTGTTAGCAAATAGTATTTTTTCTTCCAACAATAAAATTCATGAAAAGGTGTTTCAAACCCAAATTTTGGAGGAAATCTGTACATGTATTTTGCTTTATGAGAGTCCTGGTCTGTGTCCTGTGGAAGTATTTCACACCATGCCACTTTTCTTCAGCTTCTTTCTTTCTGAACGGCTAGGAAAATCTAATTTTTTGCTTTCTCAATTGAATTATTCCTGCAAAGAATTCTTAAGCCTTGTACAAACTTCAAGCAAAAATCAGAGGATAAACTATATGCATTCTGCTGAAAAGAATGTCTTAAAAAGTGCTGTAATTCTTAGATAGAAGCTTAAATATACAGGCATTGGATATTATTGACCATCTTAAATTATTAAAAGCAATTACATATTATTGCATGTATTGATTTTTAAGATTAATTTTTCTAGAATTTTTAGGGCTTGAGAGCCCTTGGCTGCCATGGAAAAATAAAGGAACTTTCTATATCAGAACACAAAACCATCAGGGATACTGGGATTCATGTAAAACTTCACCTCTTTTCTTGGTGTTTCCTGGAAGCTTCTGTATTTCTTCAAATTAACAATGTCCAAAACTGATCTTCTTTTACTCTGTATGTCATAGAATCATAGGATCATAGAATGGTTTAGGTTGGAAAGGACCTTGAAGATCATCCAGTTCCAACCCCCCTGCCATAGG